TCCCCCCTATCTCCGGTTGTAGCCAACGTATTCATGGAAAAATTTGAAACTGACGCCATCCAGACTGCCACTCTACGCCCGACCTTATGGAAGAGGTACGTTGATGACACCTTTGTCATCTGGCCACATGGCCAGCCTGCTCTAGACCAATTCCGCGACCACATCAATTCCATACACCCAGCCATCAGATTTACCATGGAGGTCGAAAAAGATGGCAAACTACCCTTTCTGGATGTCTTAATTAAAAGGAGACATGATGGTTCAATGAGCCACTCTGTCTACAGGAAAGCTACCCATACAGATGCTTACTTGAAACCGGATTCCCACCACCATCCATCCCAGAAGAACTGCCTCATCAAGACTCTATACCATAGAGCCCAATGCATTTCCGACCAGGAACACATTACCAGTGAACTCAAACACGTACACCAGGCTGTCAGGGCTAATGGCTACTCCGACTACACAATCCGCAAAGCCATCACTCCAGTCATGAAGAAGGATCCTCTTGTGGAGCCACTCAAAACCATCACCTTACCCTACATTGCAGGGGTCACTAAAAAGATCTCCAAAATCCTGAATAAACACAAGATCCAGGTCCGATTCAACACAGTACACAAAATCCGTGATTTAGTTCCATCTGTAAAAGATGCTCTTCCAGACATACAGTACCCGGGCGTTTACAAACTAAAGTGCCTCTGTGGTAGTAGCTACATTGGAGAAACCAAAAGACATATCTCGGATCGCATCCGCGAACATAAAGCAGACTTGAAACACGGTAAGACGAACTCCTCTGCCGTGGCAGATCACTGTTACAATTCAGTGGGCTCACATGACATTGACTTCTCCAAGACGGAGGTTCTTTGCAAACCAACTGGCTACCATGAGAGATTCGTTCATGAGGCCATTCACATATACAAGCACAGAGACAATTTCAACCGAGAAGATGGATTCAGTCTCAGTAACCACTGGAAAGATGTGTTAAATCATTTCTGTTCTTAATTAATTGTAATTTTACGATGACCTTCAGACCGCAGCTCTTTCGCCAGCATTGCCTCTTAATACCTCTCACACCACGGTTAATGGTATGGTTTACAACATGGAGTATACTAGGGCTTCGCAGCTGTCTCTCTCCCCCTCCTCTGTTCCGACCATGGACGAACTCGTCCGTCTGAACGGGGCCCGTAGCTATCCGTGGTACGGAAATTTGAGGGTAAGAATCCACCCATTTTTTCGCCATATAGCATTGTGATATATAACGACTTATGGTTGGTAGCTTAGCTGATTGGAGAATATAGAGTTTATTGATAACATGAAGGTAATTTATATTTTAGTTTTTATTGGTTCACTATATAGTACTGTGAATAGCTCAGATTTGTAGTCATTTCTGTGACCAGTCACTAGCAAATCATCCAGTTATTTCAATGCTAAATTCGCCTAGTTATTTCAATGCTAAATTCTCCTGTTTTGATTTGTACTAAGTGCCTCGGTGAATGTGTATGCTCTGACTTCAACGTAACTATTTCTGTAGCAGTTACAAGCGAATGCCTTAATTTAGCTATTTCAATGCTAAATTCTATGCTAATTCCTTTGAACAATGGGTGCCTCTGCGGATGTGTATGCTTTAACTTTTAACATAGCTATTTCTGTGACCAGTCACAAGCTAATCATTCAGCCTTTTCAATGCTAAATTTTATGCTAATTCCTTCGTCAAGGCTCTTTGTTCCTCTCACACAGCTTAAAAGCCGTGATCTGAACGTGGCTCTCTCACTCCAGCGCTGTCCTACCAGACAGTCTCGCTCCCTTCACCTGATGAAGGCCGCTTGTGTTGTGGCCGAAACGTCGTGAGAATATTATTGTGTTATTTTATTTTATCAATTTATTATTTTATTCTCATTCTACGTGACTTTACCGAAAGAACCAAAGAAGATGTATTTACATTAATTTAAACTTAACATCAGTACTGTAACGTTATATAAGACTTTGTATAACTAATACACTGTGGCTAACCAGTAACACCACGTAAATGTGTTCCTGATATTTACATATTTAATATGATTTTACATATAACAATCATCTAGTACAACTAATTAACTACGACTATAATTTTTTACCACATGAGTATATAAACATTTATATTACCATCGCTAACATAAGTTAATGTCAGATGAAAGAACACGAATTATGCAAGTACATTAACCTCTAAGTATCACTGCTGATGGTTCGACTTCGTCAGAAATGTCACCGCTGCATCTTTGACCGGTCTCCGAGCGAGCGAGAGCTCAGTTCGAGCGAGACCGCTCTGCCACTGCGGATGCGTCGCGCCGTCTTGACGCGAAAAAACTCGCGCAGGAAATTCTACAACTTCAGTTGGGCCGTCGACGTTCTAAGCGGACCGCGACACTCAAAGGAACGTCGCCACCCCGTGATTCGCGGATCAAACAAATCACTCGAGACATCGGTAGGGCAGCAAGAGTTGCCGTTGTTCTTACCCCGCACCTCCAATTAGCGCGGTTGGCTACGTACGGGGCGAACGAAGTTCTACATACGTAGAAGAGCAGTTCGTGCGAACGCTACCGCGAGTAGGGTCACACGTTTGGCACAACGGTCCTTCGCTGACTCCGCGCGCGATGAGTGAAGATTGTCGCTCTCTGCCACTCCCTACTCTGTAGTGGGTACACGTTGATTACCTCACACTCCGCTATTAAAGGCCCAAGACTGGAGGTCATTTGCACAATTCTGGCCACTTACGCTGATAATGCCGTAGGTATAACTGCGAGCGAAACGTCTTGGAAATTTAAATGTTGTGAGATTGTCCTCCAACAAGAACGCCGCTGCTGCTGAAGCAGGAATACATTGGGACGTTTAATTCGAGTGATACTTTTATTACTTGGCAGCATCGAGTGGCTTACGTCACACTTTTTATTTATGCGATCTGACCAATGAAAAAAGGTCTTGGTTAAAACTCCGTCGTCCACTCGACCGAGACGATGATGAATGCAGTATATAAAATCCTGACTGAATTCATGCTTGCCACTGCTCTTGGAGTTTAATCCAGGTCCTCGGTTAAGGAAACCTGAAACCCGTCTCCCAGCCCCCAACAGTTACAGACTCAAGACCATCTGAATACGATACCTTGAGCTAATGTTCAACAACAAGTCTCCGCCTCTCCGGTTGATGCAGTTTACACAGCATGAACTTGTGCTGTCACTCGCTCAATATTTAGGGCCCTAATTCCAAACTTGATGATTGGCAAAGTTTGTGAAAAAAATGTGATGAACTTTGTCCCCCACAACCTCCGGTGGGCAGGTTGTTTTACGCCAAACGTTTGCCCTGACAAATTGTGCCGAGCGACCGCCACAGTGTGAGACCGCGGTCTTGGTGAGAACAACCGGCCCTCTGCTGGGGCTCTCAACCTCTCCAGTGAAAGGGGCTGGTAGAGATGGCAGCGCTGAGGGCCACTTTTGACCAACACCGCGAAGAGCCCTGCATTCACAACAAACGTGTTCAAGGGCCGACATCGATTAACCAAGATTGTTGTAAAACAATGAGTGAAAACTTTAGGAAGAAATTCAGTGGAAGTGACCGGGTGGTGCAGACGTCAGAAGCATTAGCTGGAAGAAAAAAATATGTTGAGGGTTGTTTTATCGCATTAAAATATTTAACCTGGAAAATCCCTTCTGAGCCAGGAAGCCACCGAGATTAAACCGGTTTCTCGAGCGTAGTGGATTGGTGGTCTCAGCCCGGTAACTAGTGAAAGTAAATTTAAAAAAAACCCTCATAAAATTAAATTTGGTTATGCACTTATTAACTCTGTCTCCTTCCGAGACGTCTGCAAGCTGCAGGGTGGGTGTCCCGTTCACCGCTGAATCTTGGAACGCTCAAGCAGTTAGCATTAATTTTATTGAGAGAGGTGCAGCACCGTTGTGTTTAAAGACATTGTACTCACCGCAGAGAACTGTAGCGACCCGACCACACTCCACGATAGCTGGCGCAAAACTGTGCCATAAGCCTTCCCGCATGGCCTTGTGGGAGCCTCGGTGTACCGATAGTTATTTTTTTATTTTTTTATTTTCGCTTCGTTTGACGTACACGCACATCATCGCAACGGGAAAGGATTAATGTGGCTGAATTCCAGCTCTGACGTTTCAAATATTGGTTTGACCGTCCGCTATAGACACGCTCGATGTTGAAACCAGATGTCATTTCACACCTGCCAAATCACTACCGCGTGTCCCCACGCTGTGGTTCCTTCAACGCAAGCATTGTCTGCGCCCTGCTGGACAGCGCCGCACTCGCACCGCACGTACAACACCTGGCACAGTGTGCATATGCACGCCGGCACTGGGGAGACAAAAGTGGCCGGGCGTGGTGCTGGCCCTTATAGCGCATAGAAGGGCCACTGCCCGCAGTGTTATTGACGAACGTGTCCGGGCATTGTTGTTGTCATTATCTGTGCCTGTCTTCTTGTTATGTCGTACGGTTTGCTGCACAATAGGAGACTTATTATAGGGGAGGCGCAAATTGTCAACGGTTTATTTGCTTGTGCCCCACTGTGAGAGCAATACGAGAAAAACAACGATAAACTATTTTTTTATTTTTCCAGGTAAGGCCCACTGAGCTATGTAGGCTCAACGAAGTGGCTTATTTGGAAATTTATAGCAGCCAAATATTCTAAAACGGGTGATGTTGATTCTAAATGTGGAGGGAAAAACCGGAGGACCCAGAGACAAAATTGACGCGACCACGAGGAGAAAGAGAGACACGTAAACTCCACATATACAGGAATCAGGGTCCTTTTCGAACCCATGACCTCCTGTATACCAGGCAAGGTAGTTAACATATCGCCACCAGAGAAAGCCTCACTCAAAAATTAAAAAAAAATACTCCTCCTCGTGTGTTTGTAAAGGAAGCCTCTACACGCCGCCTCTGTGACCCCCTTCCCCGCTACTGCTGCCCCTCCCCCCCACCCTCCGATGACCCCTGTCCCCCACGTGGAGTAGCGGACATCGTCTACCCCACCTACCATGCCGTGGCTGTGGTGCACAAGGCGGCGCCGGCGAGCTTGACGTTCGGCACGCTGCGGGGGACGCGCTCGTGCCACACGGGGCTCGGCCGCACCGCCGGGTGGGTCATCCCCGTGGGAAGGCTGCGGCAGAGCGGCGAGGTCAAGGGGGAGGGCTGCGACATCCCCAAGGGTGAGAGGTTTGCCTCGGCTGCATAGCGGTCGATGGGTTAGATTCCCCGACTCGGGCGCCGGTGCATCTGAGTGTGGTTTGGATTTTTTCCCCCTGATCTTCAGTGTGAGTGTGTACGTGTGTGTATATGTGTCTATGTGTACGGATATGTGTACGTGTGGGGAGACAAAGGCGGTTGGGCGTGGTGCTGGCCACCCACCCTCTCGTGTACCACTCCGCCCTTCATAGGTGCTCGCTAACAGCACTTGCCCTAACAGTCTGTTAAGGCTAAACGGGGGATCTTTGTCTTTGTATCCATGGGGAGTGGTGGTGCAGCGGTTAGGACGCTGCGCTATGAACCTGGCGACTGAGTTCCATTAATGCTAACGGCCAACACCAGTGACAATTATCGAAATTGGTCCAGGCCCTCCCTTAGGTCGACTCAGTTTCAAATGAGTACCTGTGGAAACATCGCCACTAGGGAGACAAAGGCGGCTGGATTTGGGGTACTGTTCTCACACTCCCTCATGTGCCGTGCCGGCCTTCATGGGTGCTGCTCGCTAACAGCACTTGCCCCAACAGTCTCTTCAGACTATACGGGGGGTCTTTGTCTTTAGAGTTTGTATGTCCTCCCCCTTTACATTATGAGACCTCCTTTGCCAGTACCAAAATATGATAATGGGGGTTTCCCCTTTTTTCTACGTAACTTTACCGAAACAACCAAGAATATGAATCCCTGCAGTCACGAAAGCTTTAAATCAAAACAAAACAGGTGTTAAGATGGTAAAACACCAAACTGAAACCTTTTACAAGGAATCATGTCAGAGGCCTTTTGGCATTCTCTGGTCTAACATCGTTTGAGACGAGGCTCAAAAGAAAGCTGACTCCAGTGTGGACCAATCAGTTTCAAAGACAATGCCACATATTATCAGTGTTTTTTTGTTTGCATTCTGACCACAAGCATTGTGGTTAATGCAGACATGATTCCTTGTAAAAGGTTTCAGTTTGGTGTTTTAACATCTTAACACCTACATTTTGATTTAAAGCTTTCGTGACTGCAGGGATTCATATTCTTGGTTCTTTCGGTAAGAACCAAGAATATATATCTTATCACCTGTTTTGTTGCCAGAAAATAGGGGAAAAACCTATTATCATGTCCTCCCCCTGTTCCGCACGGGTTTCCTCCGTGTTGTCTGGTTTCCTCCTATACCGTGAAGGAAAAAAGTATTTTATCCCCTGCTGATTTTGTACGTTTGCTCACTTACAAAGAAATGATCAGTCTATAATTTTAATGGTAGGTTTATTTGAACAGTGAGAGACAGACGAACAACCAAAAAAATCCACAAAAACGCATGTCAAACATGTTATAAATTGATTTGCATTTTAATGAGGGAAATAAGTATTTGACCCCTCTGCAAAACATGACTTAGTACTTGGTGGCAAAACCCTTGTTGGCAATCACAGAGGTCAGACGTTTCTTGTAGTTGGCCAACAGGTTTGCACACATTGCAGGAGGGATTTTGTTCCACTCCTCTTTGCAGATCTTCTCCATGTCATTAAGGTTTCGAGGCTGAAGTTAGCAGAAAAACACCCCCAAAGCATAATGTTTCCACCTCCATGTTTGACGGTGGGGATGGTCTTCTTGGGGTCATAGGCAGCATTCCTCCTCCTCCAAACATGGCGAGTTGAGTTGATGCCAAAGAGCTCCATTTTGGTCTCATCTGACCACAACACTTTCACCCAGTTGTCCTCTGAATCATTCAGATGTTAATTGGCAAACTTCAGACGCGCATGTATATGTGCTTTCTTGAGCAGGGGGACCTTGCGGGCGCTGCAGGATTTCAGTCCTTCACGGCGTAGTGTGTTACCAATTGTTTTCTTGGTGGCTATGGTCCCAGCTGCCTTGAGATCATTGATAAGACCCTCCCGTGTAGTTCTGGGCTGATTCCTCACCGTTCTCATGATCATTGCAACTCCACGAGGTGAGATCTTGCATGGAGCCCCAGGCCGAGGGAGATTGACAGTTCTTTTGTGTTTCTTCCATTTGCGAATAATTGCACCAACTGTTGTCACCTTCTCACCAAGCTGCTTGGCAATGGTCTTGTAGCCCATTCTAGCCTTGTGTAGGTCTACAATATTGTCCCTGACATCCTTGGAGAGCTCTTTGGTCTTGGCCATGGTAGAGAGTTTGGAATCTGATTGATTGATTGCTTCTGTGGACAGGTGTCTTTTATACAGGTAACGAGCTGAGATTAGGAGCACTCCCTTTAAGAGTGCGCTCCTAATCTCAGCTCGTTACCTGTATGAAAGACACCTGGGAGCCAGAAATCGTTCTGATTGAGAGGGGGTCAAATACTTATTTCCCTCATTAAAATGGAAATCAATTTATAACATTTTTGACATGCGTTTTTCTGGATTTTGTTGTTATTCTGTCTCTCACTGTTCAAATAAACCTACCATTAAAATTATAGACTGATAATTTCTTTGTCAGTGGGCAAACGTACAAAATCATCAGGGGATCAAATACTTTTTTCCCTCACTGTAGGTCAAAAATTAGAAAGCAATGCAACTGACGCTGACTAAACGTCCCAATGCTGAAGAACGACCTGCAAATGACCGTACTCAATTCGAATCACAACCAAAGTAGCAACATCGCCCTCTACTGAAAAAACTCGGTAGGGCCATCCTGAAAACGGGTTTTGAGAATGGCTTTCCTGAATAAACAAATATAATCTATAAACTAAAACTAAACAATGTTGTTTACCAGGTTAGACCCACTGAGCTATATGGCTCTTTTTTAAAGAAGCGACCTGGCGACAAATGATAGCTCAACCAAGTGGTTTATCATCGTGGGGAAATTTATAGCAGCCAAATACTCCAAAAGCATGTTTTTAAATGTGGAATGAAAAATCGGAGAACACGGGAAAAAAACTACATCACCACAGAGAGAAAGAGACACGCAAACTCCAAATATACAACAGGTGTCAGGGTTGGGATTGAACCCATGACCTCCTGCATACCAGGCGAGGAAGTTAACATGTCGCCACCGTGGCAAGATATGACAGGGGTGGACCAAACACCCCAATATAGAACAACAGAGCTTGGACAATTGTGCCCGTGCAGGCTGCCTTTCCCACTCGATTGGGGTTTCCCACGCCTCTGAACATGGAAACTATTTTGATTTAAAGCTTTCGTGACTGCAGTAATTCATATTCTTAGTTTTTTCGGTAAAGTCACGTTGAAGAGAAACAACAAAATAATATAACATATATAAAACAATAAAAATTCTCACGACGTTTCGACCATAACTCAAACGGTCATCTTCAGGTGTGTTGGTTTGCATAAATTTATTTTTAAACGGCGCATTTATTTATTTATAAAAAAACGTTAGCGTCACGCGCAGCGATTTGGCAGTTTGCCCAGGACTAGTCCATCTATATTTTGAAAAGAGGAGGGGGGAGACGAAATTTTTTATAATGTATGCTGTCTGAAAGCCACTGTAAGCGTGAACAATCAATTAAGAACTGAAATGGTTTATCAAATCTTTCCAATGATTGCTAAGATAGAATCCATCTTCTTGGTTGAAATTGTCTCTGTGCTTGTATATGTGGATAGCCTCATGAACGAATCTCTCATGGAAGCCAGATGGCTTACAAAGAACCTCTGTCTTGGAAAAGTCAATGGCATGTGAGCCTACTGAATTAGAACAATGATCTGCTACGGCCGAGGTGTTGGTCCTACCGTGTTTAAGGTCTGCTTTGTGTTCACGAATGCGGTCCAAGACATGGCGTTTGGTTTCTCCAATGTAACTACTACCACAGAGGCAACTTAGTTTGTAGACACCAGGGTATTGTATGTCCGGAATCACATCTTTTACAGACGGAACCAGATCACGGATTTTATGTAATGTGTTGAAACGGACCTGGATCTTGTGTTTATTCAAGATTTTGGAGATCTTTTTTGTGATCCCAGCAATGTAGGGTAAAGTGATGGTTTTGAAAGGCTCCTCAAGAGGGTTCTTCTTCATGGTTTGAGTGATAGCTTTGCGGATTGTATAGTCGGAGTAACCATTAGCCCTAAGAGCTTGGTGTACGTGCTTGAGTTCACTGCTTATGTGTTCCTGGTCGGATATGCATTGGGCTCTATGATACAGAGTCTTGATGAGAGAATTCTTCTGTGATGGATGGTGGTGGGAATCCGGTTTCAGATAAGCATCCGTATGGGTAGCTTTCCTGTAGACAGAGTGGCTCATTGAACCATCAGGTCTCTTTTTAATTAGGACATCCAAAAAAGGTATCTTGCCATCTATTTCGACTTCCATGGTAAATCTGATGGCTGGGTGTATGGAATTGATGTGGTCGAAGAATTTGTCTAGAGCAGGCCGGCCATGTGGCCAGATGACAAAAGTGTCATCCACGTACCTCTTCCATAAGGTTGGGCGCAGAGTGGCAGTCTGGATGGCGTCAGTCTCAAATTTCTCCATGAAAATGTTAGCTATAACTGGAGAAAGAGGGGAGCCCATTGGGGTGCCCAAAGTTTGTTTGTAGAAAGTTCCATTCCAAGTGAAGTATGTATTGGTTAAACAGTGTCTCACCAGGGGGGGTACCTCAGTGTTTAGTCCTTGATGAACCAAGTCTTCAATGATTGCAATGGTGTCAGGTACAGGAACCTTGGTGAATAAGGAAACTACATCAAAACTGACAAGCAGGTCGTCTGGGGACAGGGAAATACCCTTGATTGTCGATACCAGGTGAGTAGAATTTTGTACCGCAGAGGTGGTCTTTCCAGTGAAAGGACGCAGGATTTCAGACAAAAAACGAGCTAGTTTGTAGGTGGGGGAGCTGATAGTAGAGACTATGGGACGAAGAGGTGTATCAACTTTATGTATTTTTGGTAAGCCGTATAATCTTGGTGGCCTGGCAGCAGAAGGTTTCAACGAAAACTGTTTAGATTGATCAATTAATGCGGTTGAATCAGAAATTATTTTGTTGGTTTGTGTGACGAGGCTGTTGGTGGGATCT